GGCTTCTCTGTGTGAAGTGAAGTATGTCTGAGGAGACAAACATAGGGTTGTGTGTTCACTCTGTTTTGCAGAAGGTCTTTTCCAGGAGCGTGGTTTGGGGATTGCTCATGCTCTGAAGAATCTCAGGAAAGGCTATTAATGTCCCGAGAGACAGAAATGTGGTTGGCTCCATTCCACAGGATTCCCGAGTAAGCGCTGCTCACAGGAGTGATCCTTTGCTTCTCATAGTTGACCTATTATCTCTTCTCTTCTGTGATCCAGAGAGGTCATTTAATTTTCTTTAAAAAAAGGTTTTTTTTTAAGATTTTTTTAACATTTATTTATTTTTGAGAGACAGAACGTGTGCATAGGGGAGGGACAGAGAGAGAGGGAGACACAGAATCTGAAGCAGGCTCCAGGCTCCGACCTGTCAGCACAGATGTGGGGCTCAAACTCATGAGCCATGAGATCATGACCTTAGCTGAAGTTGAACGCTTAATCGACTGAGCTCCCAGGCACCCCAATTTTTTTTTTAATTAAGTAATATCTTTGCTCAATGTGGGGCTCAAACTCACAACCTGGAGATCAAGAGTCTCATGCTCTACCCACTGAGCCAGCCAGGCGCCCCTAGGTCATTTAATTTTCAATCCATGGACCCATCCTTCCTACCTTATTTCTTCTCAGGGCCATGCTTCATTCCTTCCCATTTGCTCATTAATTAAATAAGAAGACCGTACTGAGTTGAAGTTCAGCATCATCAGAACGCTCCACGATTCAGTTCCTGAGGTGCTGCCCCTGAGTAACTCATGTGGTGTTTCTGAGCAGTGACCTGTTGGGAGTGTTCTGCTGGATCAGATGAAAAGCCTTCTGATTTATTAATTGTTGTCTCTGGGTTGAAATAAGACATTACTGAAATTATATGAATCTATTGTTCACAAAGCTAGAAGTCTGTTTGTTTTTGAATTTGTTTTGCTTAGCCCCAGCTGGTATGGAGGAGACAGTGATGTGTCTGTAAATTTCAGGAGAATCCCATTTACGTTTCAAAGAATAAACTCCACAGTTTTCTGCTCCAGTTTTTAGGTACTTTATCAGGCCCTCATACGTCTTAAAAAATAATTGCTAGTGGCCATGATTGCTGATGAAACTAGGCAAGGTATTCCTTGTTTTAAGGTGGTCTGGTCTGCAGTGTGCAGCCCTTCTAGATTAACGAGGGAATCTTCAACTAGACTCTCCTCTCTGTGTGCCTACCTGCCTTCCCCCCCTGGTGCTGCAAACACCAGTAATAAGATTACAGGGAACTTATCTTTAAAGGTCAGAGGTAAAAATAAATACAGTATTAAAAGCATCCATCTTTTAGTATCATTTATTTAGAGTTCTTCTCCTTTTACAATGAAAGGCTTTCCATTTGCTCTTTTGTTCTTTCATGCTTGTCAGCAATATCTGCCTGCCCCTGTGATGCCGCGAGTCAGAGCTTGGGAGGCAGGACTGCTGGTGTTCAGGGCTTTCCTCGTATCCAGCTGTGAAGTAACATGAATAAGAATATTGACCTCATGGAGCTGAAATGAGAATTAAACTCTCTAATATGTGAAAGTGCTTTGTTACTAACTTTAAAAAGTGTTGATATTTGTGCCCAGAATTGCCAAGTGCCAGGTCTTAGTGATTTGAGCGAGGATGTTCAATAAGACTATGAGGTTAATAGATTCTTAAATGAGCACCTCCCGCTCTCTTAAGTGAGCACCTCTCCTTCTCTCACTTCTCTATGTGTGTCTCTTCCTTTTAATGACTTCATTATCTTTCCCTACTCTAGTAGCTTTCTACAACTGGATATAACAGAGAAGTACCTTTTAATTATTAATCACTGCTGCTATATAATCTTAAGTAAAACCAAATGGGGACAGTGTTTAGTTTAATCTCTTTAGAAAACTCATGTATTGTTTTTTTTTTTACACTGATCAGTTAGCTATTGAGTCTTTTGCCCACAGTGGATTCAGTGTTTTCAGTAGAAAATCTTTACAACAGGGCTACTAAAGCACTTCTAATTCAGGAACATCTTTTCTCTTTCTTGAAGAAATGAATTTCATAGAATTTTATAATCACTTTGTCCCTGGAAACCTACTGAAAAGTATATCATGGAGATATGAGAGTTCATCGCTATAAAATAAAGCAAATACTATGTTTTGGTGACTTTTTAACAAATAATGGGGAGGGGCTGCCTGGGTGGTTCAGTTGGTTGAGTGTCCGACTCTTGATTTTGGCTCAGGTCATGATCTCAGGGTCATGGGATTGAGCCTTGCGTCAGGCTGTATGCTGAGTTTAGAGGCTGCTCAAGATTCGCTTTCTTTCCGTTTGCTCCTCTCTCATGTGTGCACATTCTCTGAATGAATGAATGAATGAATGAATGAATGAGTAAATGGATGGGAATGTGGGGTCATTTATAGTGTAAGGATGGAAATTTTGAGAATTTTTTTTTTTTTAATTTTTTTTTTTTTTCAACGTTTATTTATTTTTGGGACAGAGAGAGACAGAGCATGAACGGGGGAGGGGCAGAGAGAGAGGGAGACACAGAATCGGAAACAGGCTCCAGGCTCTGAGCCATCAGCCCAGAGCCTGACGCGGGGCTCGAACTCACGGACCGCGAGATCGTGACCTGGCTGAAGTCGGACGCTTAACCGACTGCGCCACCCAGGCGCCCCGGAAATTTTGAGAATTTTAGACACTTCAGAATTCGACCTGGTTTAATTTTTTTCTTTTAAAAAATCTTCCTTTTTCCACTAATGTGCTCAGGAAGGGACAAATCACTATGTCTTTGGGTTTTTTAATGGCCAAGCAAACCCACCCTTAACTCAGCTGTACCCCTACAGCCCCAGACTGATTGCTTCTTCTGTGCCTTTCTCTATTTCTCCAAAAGAATCCTCTTAGTCAAATTGTGACTATCAACTGAGCACATTATGTTAGTTCAGACTCTTGAGATTACAACTGACAGCCCACAAGTCAAACAAAAAAATTCATTTAAGAGGAAGCACCGGGAAGGATGGTTGGTAGTCAAGAAGGATGGAATTGGTGCATCCTTCTACATCTGTTTCTCTGTAAAGGGTTGACAGTTCAAGCTCCTAACTTCCTCAGCCTGTGCAACCATTTGGAAAGGCTGTGATATTTTTTCAGCACCTCCAAGCAAGCCCCTTCCTCTGCTGACATTGCCCTTCTATCCCTCCTCCTTCCTGCTCTGGTCTAGTTAACTCCCGATTATTCTCCTGCACAACCTTTCCAACCCCCAGCGCAAAGTGCATCCCTTTTCTGTGTTTTCATAACATCTTGTGCTCAGGATTTCACTGTGTACTTGGTAATTGCTTGGTTACTTGTTCGTTTCTCACCTAGACTGTGGCCTTCTAGAGGGTCAGAAATGTATCTCATTCATGCTTCCATTCCTTGTCCATAGTTTCATTCATAAACAGAGAGAAGTATTTGCTGAATGAGTGAACATGGGATCGTGTTCATGTTGGTGACTTTGCCTTGTGGGCAAATGTGGGCCTTGTTGGCAAATGCCAAAGCCTTTTCCCCTAATGATATCAAAGTCCTATTTCTAATATCCTTCGTTCTAAAATCAGGCCAATGCGATCCCCTTCAACAATAGGTTCAGTAAAGAATGTGAATATGCATGCAAAAAGCTCTTTAGGTCAGTTGTTTTTTTGGTAATAATCAAAGTTTCATGCAATATCTCAATAGAAATGATAATGAAATGTGGAAGTGAACCTTATTAAGTTGGCAGCCAGATCAACAATATAGTTCATATGAACACAGTGGCAGAAATTGGTCAGGAAGGTACCCGACTACACATTTTTAGTGACTTATTTTTTATCTTTCTTTTTATTGATCCCATTATTTTCGTGAGTAGTCTAACAGCCTTTTTAAGTTAGGTGAAAAAAGTTTTGCTAATTCATGCTAACTTTGTCAATTTGTCCTTCCTTCTTAGGAGTAACAATAGTCTTAAAATCTTTAATAACTGCCAATATACTGTTGACCCTTGAACAACACGGGGTTGAACCTCCCAGGTCTACTTACATGTGGATTTTTTCTGATAAATATGTATAGCACTGTAAATGTAATTTTTTTCCTTATGGTTTTCTTAACATTTCCTTTTCTCTAGCTTATTTTATTATAAGAACACAGTATATAATACATATGACCTACAAAATGTGTGTTAATTGTGCATGTTATTGCTAAGGCTTTGGTCAGTAGTAGACTATTGGTAGAGTTTTGGGGGTAGTCAAAAGTTATATTCAGATTTTTAATTGTGTAGGGGGTTTGTGCCCCTAAGACCCCATATCAGTCAAGGATCAACTGTATTTATTTTCCATTTGTTCTAGGTTGAAATATTCCTTGTTGGTTCATCAAGAACTCTAATGTGTGGGTCTCATGAAACATATAAGCATCTTTTCTTTCTGACTGACAGTCTAGTAACCAACTTTTTTAAAATATGTTTATTTATTTATTTTGAGGGAGAGAGCGTACACGAGCTGGGGAGGGGCAGAGAGAGAGAGAGAGAGAGAGAGAGAGAGAGAGAGAGAAAGAAAGAGAATCCCAAGCAGGCTGTACACTAGCCGCACAGAGCCCGATCTCAAAAACTGTGAGATCGTGACCTGAGCCAAAATCAAGAGTTAGACGCTTAACTAACTGAGCCCCTCAGGCACCCCCTGGTAACCAGCTTTGATTTGACTCCTCAGTGGTTATGAATCCATGAAAACCATTCCCAAGGATAGTTTTGGGAGGCAGAAACTAAAAAGCTGCTCTTTTCTCTTGTATGTAGCTTTTTTCTTTCAGGAACTATAACTTGACACCTAGCATTCTGGCCTTTGTAATGCTGAACCATTTTAATAGGACTTTGTTATGATTCTAAGAATTTTTGTCATCAGAAACAAATGATTTCACCACAAAAGCAAAATGGAAGTCTGTTTTATTGACATACTTATGCATTCCTTATTTTTTTCCCTCTTTTTTTTTTTTTTTTTTTTTTTTTTTTTTAGTGAGCATGTTTTTGAACACATTAACACCGAAGTTCTACGTGGCGCTGACAGGCACTTCCTCACTAATATCAGGGCTCATTTTGGTAAGTAGTAGAATCCTTCCTATTTAAAAGCATGCTGATTACTTGTATGTTAGTATATGTACAGGCAAAAATTCTGGAAGAATACATACCTGCAACTTACAGTGATTATCTTGTATGTGTGTTTATGTTGTGTAGTTGGACTTATAGAGGCCTTTTACTACCCACATTACATATTTCTAAAATATTTAAAAGAAAATTTTAATAGTCCTGTATTGCTTTTGTTGAAGGGGAAAAACAAAATATAAATATAATGGAAATTAAAGGAAGACAATTCTGTGTCAAATTCTAGTATCTGAGATACTATAAAATACACGTGACTCAGTTCAATGAACAATGTTTTTCATCATTCTTTTCAAAATGGATTATTGGCCATACTCAAAATCAGTAGAAATACAGCCCAGTTTTTTAAAAAATGGATTGAAGTAGATGTGGCAGTTATAAGCTTTTTTCCCTTTATCAAAAGTTACATTTCCCTATTTCTTCCTTTCAAAAATTCCAGTAGGCAAAAGCAATGATAATCATTTCTTTGGTTCCATTAGTTTATGCTCTAAATAGTTACAAATGTGACGTTATAACACCTGAAGTAGTTTTTTTTTTTTTTTTTTAATTTCAGTGGACTTAAATAGGGCCATCTAACTCACTGTAGTCATGCTAATATAATTAAATGATCTTTAAGGAAAAAGAGGTTTTAGAATTTTTTTTGTCTACATATAATGCTGTGATTACTAATTTTTATGGAGACAAGAACAAGAAAGATACTACAGTGTGGATGTTAAGATCACTAAGAAAACATAAGTTTTAGGAGAGAAGGGCACAAAAATGTGGAACAAATAAATGCATAGGCGAACCTAGAACAGTAGAAGGTTTCAGAAGCTTGAGCTTACAGGGAGCCAGAGTAAAAAGGTAGAGCAATATATGCAGGGCAGAATCCTGCCAAGAGCTTAAAGAGATGGTGGTGGTATGGGGGCATTTTTTTGTGATCAGAGCATATTCAGGTCACTCTTGCTCTGCTGTATCACATGGGTTGTCTGGACTCGAGGGATGAGATGCTTCAAGTTGATATTACTGGACTAGGAATGTGAAGGACACCAGCAGTTGCTGCTCCAACATGGTTATATAAGTGGAAGTCCACACAGAAAGCCCAGTGCTGACTGCAGAGAGCAAGCAAGCCAAGGTGAAGGGAGGCATATTAAAACTTCTCTTCGAACTGGTTTGAAATAAGGTGTGAATAGTAATTTGTACCCTATTACCTCTTAAATGCAGGTCTGCACACCTATCTGTGTCTCTGAGGTCTTCTCTGTTCCTTGGGGACATGAGAAAAACAGACACTCTAGAGAATTGTTCTTAAAGCTGTAAGGTGATTTACTTAACTCATGTTAGTTTGTGGCAAAGCCAGGTCTAGAAACTGTGTCCTCAGATTCCCACCTTGATGTTCTTAATGGACTGAAGAAACCTCAAACTTGGAAAATGCTTTCAAATGCTTGATAAATGATTAATAAGTATGTGCTGAAAACATGGCAACCTTTTATCATGTATATTTTTGGGGGGGAGAGGAGAAGTATTATAAGTCTTCATCTAACAATTATTTACATTTAAAATAATATTTTAATATTTTCTTTCTAAAATAGCTTTGAAGTATTTTTTGTTTAAACAGAAAAATGTGAACTTTTAGATACAGTTTGAAGAGCAGTTTCATGCTGAAACCAATAATTCACTCTGATGCACAAAGTAGGTTTTTGTTTGTGTATTCCTCTCCCAGGGATGTTTGCTTAAGAATGTTACCCACTTAGGTGGTGCTTCCTGTGTGCCAGGCACTGATCTAAGCACATACGTGCTAATTCATTTGCTCTTCGCAACTGTATGAGGAGGAGATTGCTCCTGTTGTTTCCATTTTACTAATGTGTAGGCCGAAGAGGTAGAACAGGCAAGTCAGCAACCTGCCTTAGGTCACATCGCTGACAAATAGTGAAGAGCAGGATCTCAGCCCAGGCAGTCTGTCACTCATTTCACCACCTTCTGGTTAGGTTCTCAGCTGTTTTTCTAGCTCGCTGAACAAACAGCAGGTCTGGATTGGGCTACAAACTGATTGCCAGAGTGTGGGTTATCCCCTTTCACTCTGGTAAGCAGGGCCTAAGCAGTCAAACTTTTTAACTCCAGGAGGTGAAGTCCCGTCAGCTTACTTTTACAAGTAAAGGGATTTCTGTAGACTGTGACCACCTTTGCAGGTCCAGGCTGGCGAGGCTTTCTCCCGGTGTGTGGAGCGCAGCTGCTGAAACCTGACAATCACTGCTGCACCATCTCAGGGTGTATTTGTCTTGCAGCATTCTCAGGAGGCACAGGATATGTCCGACTGATGTGAAACTGAGCACTGGAAACCTCTGATGTTTGAAGATTTTGAAAGGCCTTTCTCAAAAATGTTTGTCCTGAGGGCAAAGTCACTACAATGTGGAAATAACTCTTGATAGCTTTAGGCTCCTGCTTTAGAGATTATTGGCATCAGTGTTATCCTGCCTTTGGGGACTCAGCTTTGCTAGTCCTTGAAATGTACCCAGGGTTGAGGTTCCTATTCAACCACTATTTTCTGCCAAGTGTGTTCATGGAGAGGCGGCATTGAGGTAAAGGATCAGGTGCTTAGCGGTTTGTTTCCTGGCAAGGAGAGACAATTACCTAATGACTTTCCCCTGAACAATGGAAGGAGAGCCAGGCAGTGAACGCTGAAAGTACAGGTATGCCCCTGGGGACATGGTTGTTTGGGGACCTCAGGATTCCTATGCTGGAGACTGAAACTGTCATGCAGTGTGATGTCTTAGGAGGAGAGGGGTAAATACAAACAAAAATACCCTGAAAAAGTCATCTAACTGAACAGATATACACAAAAATAAAATGTGTTTGGCAAATGCTGCTGCCTTTTACACTAATGTGTTTAAAAAATAAATGAGGACCAATCAGTGTGTATTTTTCTAGGTATCACTGCTAGTTCTTAATTTCGCAGGTTGAAAGCCCACAATGAGTTTGTTATGCCACCTACCTCTCACTCTTCCCTTCTGGTCTCATGCCCATATACCCATCCGGCCAGCTCTCTCCCTTGCTGAACTCCAAGCGGCCTCTCTGCCGTCTTGGCACAAGCCTTCCCATCTCAGTCCAGTTCCAGCCACAGGAACTGCACCTGTCGTCACAGTCCAAGCCCACCAGTTTAGTCTTTTAGTTGTTCTCGCCAGGACATGCCCAGTCTGCTTGAAGTAGCCTCTCTGGGCAATGTTTATTTCAATGGAGAAAATTTCTGGGTTTTATTTTTGTTTTTCAGAGTGGTAAGATGGTTATGTGGAGAAAATGCTTCCTTTAATTTTCTTAAAATGTTGGTAGAATGGAGAAAATGCTCTATGTTGTATTGACATTTATACGTAGATCCCTGTGTCCCCATTAACATGAATATAGACATGCTCTTATACCTACATTCTACACATATATATTAAATAGCTATAAAAAGAGGCCATCCAGGGCATAATTTTAAAAAGTGAGAATCAAGAACTAACAGGGGAGGAAATTAGAATAGTAAATAAAAGACTTAGCTCATAGATTACATGTAAAAAAACTATGTTTTTGGGAAAGTATAGAAGAGATGATAATTAGGTAGGAATAAATTATATCAAAGATCCATTTATTGAGTTATCCCTCTATGCCCGGTATTAAGCACTTTGCATATTTTACTTCATTTAATTCTCATTGAAATTCTAAGTGGTAGATATAACAGTGGCTTTATGCTGTTGAGTATAAGCAGACACAAATGTTAAATAATTTGACCAAGGTTTTGTAGCAGACAAATGATAAAATTTGAATCCTGATCTCTCGGACACTGTCCTCCATCCTCAAAAGTGAGGGAGTGGGACTAGGAGATAGTTATGGCTTTCAACTTTTCCTTGTCTAAAGAACTTGACCTGCACTTGAGATAGCATTTTAATTGACAGGCATATGAATCACCCAAATGATGGTGATTCCGAAGCTAAGAGTAAAAAAAAGACTTGGGGAAACTTGATTGGAAGGGCTCTTGGGATGTGGGAAACTACATATAAATGTCAGGCTGTGTTAATTATGAAGAAAGTTGTCCCTTGGCTGTAGTATAAAGAATGAGAGATGCTGTGGGGCCATATCATAGCCAAGTCTGCAGATAATGGTAGAAAACTGAGGCTCATTCAGCTTTATCAGATTACAGATTCTTGGGGTCACCATAAAAATTAATGCTTTTCCACAGGAGACCAAGTAAAGCGCCAGGCTAAAGAGTAGACATATGCCTGTCAGGGTCTGACTGTGGACAGGAGTATTTGAGTGGATAGGATTAATGATTAGACATGGCAGAAGTGAAGAAGGAGAACAAGCTGATGGCAGATAAAGGGACAAACTGTCCTTTTGGCTTTATCAGTTTATGTTTGAGCACATATTGAGAGGCTTGAAAATCATGCAGTTGCAGGGCTCAGGGAAGGAACTCACAGAAGCCATCCAATCTAGGTTTTTGATTTTGTTTTTGTTTTGTTTTTGCTGCTATTGCTCCATTTAAATGTCAAATGTCCACACTTAAACATCAAGTTAAACATCAGGCATCAGGGGCACCTGGGTGGCTCAGTCGGTTGAGTGTCCAGCTCAGGTCATGATCTCACAGTTTTGAGTTTGAGTCCCACATGGGGCTCTGCACTGACTGCTTGGAATTCTTTCTCTCCCTCTCTCTCTCTCTCTCTGTCCCCTCCCGCTTGCTTGCGTGTGCACGTGTGCACACACACACACACACGCTCTCTCTCTCTCTCTCTCTCTCTCTTTCAAAATAAACAAACCTAAAAAACAAAACAAAACATCAAACATCAACACATAAGCATTGCATATGCCCAGTGTTTCACAAAGTCACTCATGAATTATCACCTTTGACTTCTGTCTGCTGCTCATCACTTTTTTTTCTTTCAGGATTTTATTTAAAATCAAGTTAGTTAACATACAGTTAACTTTATTTGCTT